TATATTTTTTCATTATCAACGAAATTCGAGTACGATCCTTTCGTTCTTTTTTTTATTGCCAATATAAAGCAGGATATCAATTATTAATATGGTATATCAACAGTTATTCGATAAAAATGCACGCTACCATTAATTTCATACAATAATTTTGTATAATGGTCATCCATTCTTAATTTAATCGCGTTAAAATGATAAGAAAATGAGAGAAAAAAACATGATGACTGATTGTTGACGTACGCAATTGGTGTTCAATATCGAAATACAATTGTTTGTAAGAAAAAATAGACTTTGTTATCTATTATTATTATTATTATTATTATTATTATAATAATTAATTGGATCGTTTATGTATTTTATTTATGATCATGTTGTACCAGGGTTTTTAATACTCTATTCTGATCTTTTGTATTATGCCATCGTTTAGTAGGAGGATTAACGACGAGGAAGTTAGAGATATAGCGTTGCGTTTAAGAACGCGTTACGAGAGAATAGGTACGTAAGATCCTCCATCATAGTTGAAATTATGAATAGACGACTTTTACGTTAGATCGATAAGGATAAGCAATAAACAAGTGACGTCGTTTGATTTACTTCTGCGCCTTTAGTATTTAATTAAACAAACAAAAAAAAAAAAGAAAAAATGAAAAGAAAAAGAAAAAAACCGAACCTTCTGTTGTAGTAGAATACATCGATATTTCTCTATTCCGCAATAGGAGCTTAAGTTTTATTGCTAGTACATCGTGACCTCGGTACGTAGATATGATCTTTGTGACATCAAGTGAGTCCGATCTTACAAATTAAAAAGAAACGAAATATATGTATATTCGTCGCTAATACATTCGTCCACGCAAAAATACATTTGAACGGACTTTGCGGAACTTTGCCTCCTCAGATAGATTTCATTTTTCACTTACCGGAAGCTTTACTGGGACCAATAAAACTACTTTGTAAGTTTTGCGTATTTCTTTCTTCTTGCTGACGGCGATCTTAATTTTAAGAGCTCTATATATTTATGGTATATATTATAAATTAATTACTCGACTCAGCCTATAGAGTACAAAATACGTGACTTGATCTCAGATTTAAATAGAAAATTAATTATCTTTCTCTGCCTTTCTGAACGAGCGCGGCGTTAATTTTTTTGAATGACTATCACATATTGAGAATATACATTTAAGAAATTATGTTAACAAAGGACAGGTT